TGACAACATGCGAGCATGAAAATTTATTAAATTGAAGAATCTTCTAACTCTTCAATAGATGTCCATATGAATTTTTAATAATATTTTTGTCTCATGAAAGACCCGGGATAACCTAATCGATCATACCACATAATAAAAATATTTGAATTAGTAAACTTTTGGTTAACTACATTATTTTTTCAATCATTCCAATATTTGTAATAAAGATCAAAAGAGAAAGCGGGTAAAATTTTTCAATACATATTTTCTATTCGGTATAATGATTATAACATATAAGTATTCACATTGGCTATCTTGATATGATATCAATTTAGATGAATATCTTTGAAATTCAACAAATCTCTATAAGACCTTGAAGATAATAGTACATCATTTATAATAAAATTTATCCTTTCGGATAATAATATATTTGCTCTTCGACGCCTTTAAATTAGTCACTTAAAGTAATAATATATCGACTCTTCTAAAGCCTTTAAAAGTTGTTTCTTCAAGTAATAATATATTCACTCTTCTAGAGCTTCAAAAATTTGTCTTTATAGGTCATGATATAATTGCTCTTCTAGAGTTTTTTGTTAAATTGATATTATCAAATATAATATTAACACAAAATAATTAATTAAATATATAAATATAAAATAAATAAATAAATAAAATTTTCATAACCATAAATAAATAAATAGTAAAATAAATTTATCAATATCTTTATATGCAATAAAAATTATAAGAAAATATAAAATATCTTATTTATAAATAGAAAAGCTAACAAGTTATTAATTTTAATAACCTCTATTTTGATATATAAAATTGGGTTCTATATTTTACTCTTTTTGTTTTTCAACGAGGTCTAACAAGCTTAGTGAGGTGCTTTGGTATACGACGTGTACATGAATTTATCTATTTTTATTCTTTTCTCTTTTTTTTTCATAGTTATCCACTTCGGAAGTAAGATGTGATATTATAATCATCACGATTATAATAATAATTATTTCGACCATGTCCATGGCTATAACCACATCTTCGTCTATGTCTAAAATTATCATAAATCATCACATTCACTTCATAGAATAGAGTAGATCAATTGGACGATATTTATTCTTTTTCATCAATAGATTGTCATTTTATTTAGCTACGAGTAACTATGAAATTGATCAAAATATTTCTTAAACTCATTTTATTAATACGCTACGAGCAGGAGCATATTTGAGACATAAAAAATAGAGAATATTTACTCAATATCAAACATTCATGATTAATAATTCTTGCCCAAAATGTCAAGGGCCACAAAATAAAGTTTTGTGAGGTTTGATATCATGAAAATTCTATAATGCAAAGTATAATAATAATATTAAGCAATAAAAATAAAATATAATGATCAAATTTAAATAAAAACAAACATAAAATTTAAACATTTCAAACAATATATATTAGATTCTTGGATTCTAAATATTAAATCCTTTAAGTTTTTAAAATGTATATTTTATGTATCATTAGATTTAAAGTGCATGATAAATTAGATACATATCTCTTAATAATCTAAATAATTTAGATCTTTTGGTAGAGCACTTGTGTAGAAAAGAAAATCCAATGATTGAAACAAATGATAAAGTCTTTTGGTAGATACATACCTCATAGTCTATTATTTCGATTAGTTAGAGTTTCGTGCTGATAATGTGTTATAAAAAATGATAACAATGATAGAATTGAAGAGAAAAATGATGAAGAAATGATTTCACTATAAAATGAAGAGAATAAAAAAGATAACAAGTCTAAGCAATTCTCTTAATCTCTACAAGATTAAAGAAAGAATTGAAAGGAACTATAAACTATTAAAAGATGAATGAATTGCATCACCCTTTCAATTTCTCATATTGAATGGTGAATTGAATTACATTAAGAATAATTAGTGAGAATATGAAATGATCATGGACATTCATTATTTCATAACGATCAATGATTTATACAAACCTATGCCAAGCAAGCATGTGAAAATGTGTGTATTGTTCCCACCATGTACCGATATGCCCGCCCCTTAGAATAAATGTGTCAAAATATCAATTTTAATTAAAAAATAAACTAAAATAATTTTGATTTTTGAAAAATTTTATTCTATTTTCGCCAAATATATATATAGCTTAGAACACGTTTAAACTTCTTCTTGTTATTTGAATTTGATTTATAACATGTTTAAAAGTAAATTTGTATTTAATTTTTGATATTTATGTGGATATGATTTTGTGATTTAGTCTTATTTAAACAAATATTTATTATATTTTATATAAATTAATTTGAATTATTTGGGTTTTAAGAAGGACTTTATAGTTCATAACATAATTTTTTTAAAAAACATCTATTTATATTATTTTAAAATTTTTTTAAAAATTCAGAAAAGAATAATTCAATTTTAACAAAAAAAAAAAACGAAGTGAAAAAAAATTCGAATAGTAATTAACCAAAAACTAAATTAAAGTGTTAAAAACCGAATTAAAAAAAAAGGGGGATTAACTTGTATCCTTCATCTTGGTATCATGAATTGATAGAAAGTACAAGCCCTGGTCACGCTCCTCCGGCCGCCGCCAACCACGCCCCAAGTCTTGGTTAAATCGGCAAGCCATGTTTTGGCCTTCTGGATCGGTTGGTATCACGCGCTTAATCCATTGACTTGACCCCAAAATAGTTTTTAAGTTGTTGACTTTTATGTTTGCTATGTCCCAATTCATTTCAAGACAAACATTACTCCTTGCCACCTAAATGATTTCAACGTTTCTTGGTCAATGGAAACTACACTAACCTCGTCAAACCACACTCGGATTTTCTCTCCTTTATTTGTCGTTTGATAACAATAAAATAAAATAAAATAAAATAATAAGAATGAAAATTAAAATTTTATGGTTACTTAACGAGTGTTTTGTTGAAAAACATAAAAGAGTATGAACGAAAATAAAAACTAAATATAATTTTAATTTTATGAAAAGAGATAAGAATATAAAAAAAAGAGATTTTTTTCCTTAAAAAAATGATTTTTTATTTTATTTTAATGTTAACCATCACCATTATCATTGGTAATAGTAATTAAAAAAAAATCAAAAAATTATTATTATTATGCTACCACCCTTCTCCTATTACTATTATTTTTATTATATCACTCAGCTTATCATTTTTCTCTTGCTACCACTTTATATATTTGCCACATCAATTTTTTTTTTAATATTATCATTACTATATTATTATCATTATCACTTTTTCTTTCTCCACAACCAACCACTGCAGTTGCCTATTTTTTCTTAATATTGTTTAGCTCAGTTCTAAATTATGAGAAAGAAGGCAAAAAAGAAGTTTTTCATTTCATTACCTGATGACAAAGCAGGTAACACTAGTATTTGCCAAAATTCCACAAATTTTCAAGAAAGAATCCATTCCCTAGTAAAATATAAATTACTTTCTTTTTGAGAACCAATACAATTAGTCCTTTTCTCAAAAACTAACTATTTAATTTTTATATTTTTAAATTTTCTTGTAACTTAATAATTTTTGCTCCTTTTCAATTTATTTTATTTTTAAATAAAAAATATGGAAAAATAAAAAAAGAAAAATTTTTATGAAATAAAAAATATTAAATTAAACGTGTTTAAGACTGAATAGGAGACTAAATAGCTAATTTTTGAATAAAAAACTAATTAATTCGTTTCTAGGAAATAGAGGGACTAATTTATAATTGACTCATCCATTCCCACGTAGAAAGTTCGTTATTGGATGGCTAACATAAATTACCCTACAGGCTACACAACCTGGTCCCATCTTCTTGTTCTCACATTGGTGGCTCCCACCTCTAATTCACAGTCTGATCTCCACGTGTACGTTCAGAAACTCACCAAATTTTTTGCTTCATTTAACTGCCTGCAAAACTCACTAAAGTTTCAGTAACATAGTATTATGAATTAGTCCCTTTTGTTTTAGAAACAAATCAATCAATCCTTATTGTTTTAAAAACTAATTATTAAATTTTTAATTAGTATCGATTATGTTTAATTTAATATTTTTTTACTTTTTGAAATTTCATCTTTCTCATCAATTATTCCATATCTTTTATTGTTCTTAAAAAATAAAAATATTAATTTACAAAAAAATTTAAATATATAAAGATTAAATAATTATTTTTTTAAACAAGAGAGCTAATTAATTGATTTATATAAACTAGAAGGACTAAATTTATAATTTACTCCAACTTTAACCTAACAAACAAACAAGGAAATTCAATTCAGCAAGAGAAAAAAATTATAAAAAAAATCTCACGCAACGCAATTTTAGGAAATGAAATAATTCCCTTTTCAAACCGACACATCGCCTCTTTATTTCCATGTGGCAAGATCCCACCGGCTAATGACAAACGACAACCTCCTAGGCTCCCCAAATCTAACGTGCGCGTCCACCTCCGTGTCTTATTTTACGCGTTCTGTTTCCGTATTTTTGAGCGTTTCTTCTCCTCTCCCTCACAGCTTCATCTTCAGTTCTCTGTAAATCTAATCTCTGTAAGTCTCATTCTCTACTTCATCAATTCTGCTCCATTTTCTTCTTCTTTGATTTGCCAAAACAAAGCCTTTTCCTTTTCCTTTCTTTTTTTCGCTTTTGTTTTTTGGCTGTGAAAGATTCGTAATAGATTGGCTACTGTTTCAGTGATTTATAGTGATTCGTGCTTATTCTATCTGTAAATCAACTTCTCAAGAAAGAAACAGTAATTATAGCTTGAACTGAGAAACTGTTGAGATCTCTCTTCTATTTTTTGTACTTGATCGGTGCTTAATGCAGCACAAGTACTGATAAAGTTTGAATTTTTTTTTTTTTATATGACTTTCAGTTTTGGCTGCTGATTTTTGTTGTTGAAAGAGTATAGTTGGCTATTTTGAGAACTGGGTTTCTTGTGTTAGAGGTTTTTAATATTAAAAATGTCGAATTGAGTTAGTGAGTGATTTGGGGTTTGAGGTTTGGAGTATTAAGATTGTGTAATGAGACGCCGGTCTCCGACGAATGTTTCTTCTGAGCTGATGGAGAAAGGGGGAGCAAAAAATCAACAAAACCGCCTTTGTTTATTGGCTTCACTCTCTGCCGTTTTTTGGATTTTGTTATTGTATTTCCATTTTGTTGTGCTAGCAGGTAGTGCCGTTGATGAATCTATCAAATTAGATTCCAACCCGATAAACCCAGAATCAAAAACCCCTGCTTTTGTAACTGATGATCGGCTACTGGGCACCCCTTCCAATGTTACCCGTAGTAGCAGTAGTACTCAAAACACCCCATTGAATGCTACCCCTAGTGCTAGTGAAACCATCCCATCAAATGCTACTCCTAGTAATAGCGAAACCACCCAATCAAAAAATACGTCTATTAGTAGTCAAAAGATCGAGAATTTCCCATTTATGAGAGCATTGAGAACGGTAGAAAATAAGAGTGATCCGTGTGGAGGGAGGTACATTTATGTCCATGATTTGCCTCCTAGGTTTAATGAGGATATGTTGAAGGAGTGTAGGAGTTTGAGTCTTTGGACCAATATGTGTAAGTTCACAACTAATGCTGGGATGGGACCCCCACTGGAGAATGTTGAAGGGGTGTTTTCAAATACAGGGTGGTATGCCACAAATCAATTTGCAGTGGATGTGATATTTAGTAATAGGATGAAGCAGTATGAGTGCTTGACAAACGATTCTTCTATTGCTGCTGCGATTTTTGTGCCGTTTTATGCGGGGTTCGATATTGCTAGGTATCTTTGGGGGCATAATGTTTCAAGGAGAGATGCTGCTTCTCTTGATTTAGTTGACTGGCTTATGAAGAGGCCAGAGTGGGGGGTTATGCAAGGCAGGGATCATTTTCTGGTTGCAGGGAGGATAACGTGGGATTTTAGGAGACTGTCTGATGAAGAATCGGATTGGGGTAATAAGCTTCTATTTTTGCCAGCTGCAAAAAATATGTCAATGCTTGTGGTCGAATCAAGTCCCTGGAATGCTAATGATTTTGGCATCCCTTATCCAACCTACTTTCATCCTGCAAAGGATGCTGATGTGTTTAGTTGGCAAGACCGAATGAGGAACCTAGAGAGGAAATGGCTCTTTTCTTTTGCTGGGGCACCACGCCCTGATAACCGCAAATCTATTAGAGGGCAGATCATAGATCAGTGCAAGAATTCAAAGGTGGGCAAGCTGTTGGAATGTGATTTTGGGGAGAGCAAGTGTCATTCTCCAAGCAGCATAATGCAGATGTTTCAGAGTTCTCTTTTCTGTCTCCAGCCTCAAGGTGATTCGTACACGCGGAGGTCAGCTTTTGACTCAATGCTGGCAGGTTGCATTCCTGTTTTCTTCCATCCTGGATCGGCATACACTCAGTATACTTGGCATCTTCCAAAGAATTATACCACATATTCAGTGTTCATTCCAGAGGATGATATACGCAAGAGAAATGTTAGCATTGAAGAATGGCTTAGTCAGATTTCTCCTGAGCAGGTCAAGATCATGAGGGAGAAGGTTATAAGCCTCATTCCGTCGCTTATATATGCAGACCCTCGCTCGAAGTTGGAGACTCTCAAAGATGCTTTTGATGTTTCCGTACAGGCAGTCATTGACAAAGTTACAAGGTTGAGGAAGAACATTATTGAAGGCCGCACAGAATATGATAACTTTGTGGAGGAGAACAGCTGGAAATACGCATTGCTAGATGAAGGACAGCGTGAGGTGGGAGGTCATGAATGGGATCCTTTCTTCTCAAAACCAAAGGACGGCAATGCTGATTCTGGTGGATCATCTGCCGAAGCTGCAAAAAAATCTTGGAAGAATGAGCAGAGAGATCAGTCATGATGTAGAGCTGATGATATAGCAATAAAAGTTAAAAGAGTAATCTCTAATGGATGTTACAGGGCATGGAGCAAGCCTGCCCTCTTGGCTGGGTAGATCAGGTATGGACCCTAGCCAAGCCTGGTAATGAAAACATTGTAAAAATTTTATAATGTAGTTTATCAGGCACAGATCCTTGTTTTAATCCAAAATATACAATCACTGCTTCTAAAAGTACTTATATTATAGGTTTTCTTCTCGTCCTGCATTATGTATTTTGCTTAGCAATTTTTTCACTGTATCGTAGTGGCATATTGGATTTTTTTTTTTATTATTTTTTTACAGTGTTTCTCTGATTATTGAATACAAGAATATTAAATGAGTGCTTGATAAACATCTTGAGCTTTGGTGTGGGAAGTAGGCTATCTTATAGCATTTTCAGGCGTTCAAAAAATAAAAAAAGATGACGTCCTACCATAATTTTGCCCTGGTTCTGTTAATGTTGTTGTATTCAATTTTCAACTGCAAATGCACAAGATCGACTCTCCTGTCTTGTTAGTTACTGATTACTAACCCATTAGTCATTCTTAATCTCTCGAATGCATCATTATGGATGGATGTGCTGCAGGTTTTTATGTCAAATTCTATGTCCGGATAATAATAATAATAATTCCATCAACTCCGAACTTGGGTAGAAGACGCCGAAAGCAAAACATTTTCATCCTTCCAGTTTTTTAGTCATTTCCTCACGCATTGCGTCAATGAATTTCTGTCAAATAATTCAAGCAAATTACTTGGTAATTAATGAAGAATTGGCGATGTTTTATCTTTAAGCAGTAATGTGTATTGCACACCAGCTGTTGGACTTCAAAAGTAGCTTAGAGTGACATGACTTGTATATGTGAAAGGCGCATGGAAAATTCCAAGTAATTTGCTTTCTGGATTGTGCTTGTTTCTTTGCGGGAGGAAATTGGCCCTTTTTGTTGGGCTGAATTCATGAACGTGAAATTTATAGATTGTGTGATCATAGGTGACCAACGCCCAAATAAATAATAGGATAAATTTTAATTTGCCTCAGCCGAGGTGTGTGTGTGTGTTTTTTTTTTTTTGTTAATCGAAAACATTTGATTTGTTTGGATCAGACTATATATCTTTCATTTTCGTTTTACTTCGTGTAAATTTCAATTTTGTTTATAAATTTATGAAATACCTCAATATAACTCAAAATATAAGAATCAACAAATTGAAATTGAAAAATATAACCATGGAAAAAATAAAATTGCAAGAAATCAATTGAAAGCGGACAAATTAAAATTGCAAAAAATCATTAAATTAAAAAAAAAGGCTTTTTTTTTAATTAAAACAAATATACTAAAAAAATTCTTTTTTTCATCAATACCATCTAGTAGTTATTTAACGATACGAGAATAGAATTAAGTTAAAAATAAATATGATAAAAAAATTTAATAAAAAGTGCCAACCAGCATTGTTCTCTTGTTTTTCATACACTACTTTACTATCATTTCATATCTACACTTCTTATCCAATTTTCTATTAAAATATTGAACAAAATTTTTTTTTTAAAAAAATTAAAATCTTATATGAATGAATGGAATAGTAGTTTGAGTACAAGACAATTTTAATGTTATTTAAAACGTAATTATTTGTAGATATCAAAAGTGCTAATTGATGAGAATATTAAAAAAAATAAAGAAGACATGATAGCTTTGAGGGATCAAAAAATAAAAGAGAAATGATAACTCAGACGGATTAAAAAGTTGAAAGTTTTTAACGAAAAAATTCAAAGAGAGTTAAATGAATTTAAAATTTGATTTTTATTTAATTATAATATTAACAAAGAAAAAAAATGATATTGCTAAATAAGAATTGAAGTTTGTAAAATTTAAAAATTTCTTAAAAAACTAACCATCTCAAATTTTATTATATTTATTTTAATAAAAAATATATATTTCCATTACTTGGTACCCAGCAGTATTATCAAAATCAGCCCGGCAAGGATGTTAGGTCCTCCCTTCACCATCGGCCCACGACTCATTAATACTCATTGTACATATATATTGACGTATCAGGACAGAGTCACCTTAGTGGTCCAGGGAAGCAGACACACCAATACATGCATGAGATTGGTCGTTTAATTCGTAGGTTTAACAATTAGATTATTGGGTTTTTTTTTTTTTTTTTTTTTTTGCCATTGAAAAATACAATGACAGTTAATCTAACAACCAAACAACTAACTGCCTTGCCACATCAGACTAAAGGATTGCCCCATGTTATGATCGGGCCTTTTGCTTATTTGTTGTTGGATTTATTGATTCATCTTAGGCTCCATTTGTTTAGTGAAAAATATCTTTCATAGGAAAATCAATTTCTTAAAAAGCTATTTTTCAAAAAAATATTTTCTGTCATTTGACAATTACTTGAAAAAATTAATAAAAAATATATTTCAGCGTTTGTTTGATACATAAAATTAAAATACAAAAATAGTATGTGATTGTTACATCAACAAGTTTTGAGAAAACTTCAAAAAGGCATATTCACAATTTCACAATATAAGATACATTTAGAAAAATTTAATAAATTTTCATAAATACCGACTCTAAAATTTTAATTCAAAAAATAAAATGTATTTTTTTAACCATCAAACCAATTCATCAAAATTATTTGAGACAAAATCAAGTCAACATATACATTTAGTAAAAAAAAAAAAAATTTCTAAGTAATCTTAGCATTGTTATTTTGATAACTCAATTACGAATTCTTTTTTTTTTTTTTTGAAAATTGAACTGATAATTTAGTCTAAAAAATAGTTTTATAAATTTTTAGTTATCATCCGTAGATAATTATTCATTTGGTTTCAAAAGATTAATGTTGAAATAATTTATAACCAATTATTCACTATAATTACCAACAAAATTTTACAACCGAGTAAAATTATAAGTTATTGATTTAGTTGCAAATGAATAGTACTCGAAAAAATAATGTATTTATTAATGAATTAATTAATTTTATTATTTTTTTTAAATTACGATCTTATAATAATTATTTTCAATCATCTAAGTATATTATAGGTGGTGTTTGAGATAATAGTAAAAAAATAAAGATAATTTATTGAAATATTTATTATAAAAATACTTTTAAGGTGTAAAAATGGTTTTCAAGAATATTTAATGTATCTATAAATCAAAAAATAAATATTAGTAGAAATAAAGAAAAAATAATTAAATAATTAATAATAATTGATAAGGAATAATTAAAAATTAATTTGATATATTTTAAATAAAAAGAAGATAGAGAAAAAAGTTGTTAAAATGTATATTGAGAGAGAGAGAGAGAGAGAGAGAGAGAGAGAGAGAGAGATAAGTAATATGAGAGCGAGACAACTCATAAGAAGGAAAATGTTTTTCTCTTTTTTAACTAGGAAAACATTTCCTCAAAAATACTTTATCATTTTTCGTTGACTCGTTATCCTAAACTTGAAAAAAATTCTAAAAAATGGGGCAAACGAATACAGACCTTACTTCCAGTTGAGTCCTCCAACTTTGTTGATTCAACCCCAAATAACCATGTAACCTCCCTACTTCTAGAAATTGTATCAATACCCTTTACTTGTGAGGCCTTGTCCTCAAGGTCAAAGTGGGAAAACATCTTTCAAGCTCAAAAGAAAATTCTCAAGTGGCATCTAATAGTGATCCATTAGACCATTGTATTAACATTTTAGTAATTGCTTAATTACCTCTCTTGATAATTTTTCTATGCAAAATATCCATCGAAAACACTAGAGTATTTAGTGATATAGCCAGTTCTCCTTGAACTTCTATCCGTCCATAAGCAAATTTGAGCCGAGAAACATGAAAGGTAAGATGAATCAAGAATTGAGGAGGGAGCTATAACTTATATGTTGACTCCTTAAACTTTTATATGATCTAGAAAGAGTCAAAATACCTAGGAGAAAGCTTCTAATCCCCGAGAATGGTAACCGATTATTGTCCGTAGGCTTGAAGCTACCCAATCACCTATTGAAAAACCTTATCGGACCTCTTCTAGTCTACATGTTGCTTCATACACTATTGTACCTTAATTAAATGTTGTTTAAGCAAAACAATTAGATCCTCTTTCTCTTACGGAAATTGGTTCACATCTTTCACTTTACAATCATTAGGTAAATAAGGCAGATGTAAGGGGTCTAGATAACTATATAATTCCTCAAAAAGAGAACTTTTAATGGTTAAATATGAAGAGGTGATATGCCGGTGTTTTGCTAGGCGTAATCACTTACTCTAAGCACTAAGAATAGAAGATTTCATCCAATAAAGATAGATTTGTAAGCATCGATTGACTACCTCGGCTTGTCTATCTATATATGGGTGATAGACGGTAGAAAACTTCAAAGAGATTCCTTAATAGGCAAACAACTCCTTTCAAAATTTACAACCGCCAATTTATCTCTTCTTCTCGGTTGATGACCCCTGCTAAATGAATTCTAGATGAGAAACACTAGGGGTTTGTAATTGTGAAATAACAAATTTCAAGGTAGGATCCGAATTCCAAGAAGTTTGAATTCTAAGCACCAATTTAGTAGATACTAATGAGATGGTCAATGTGGATAATTTAATTCTTGATAAAGCATTAGCCACTATGTTTTCCCTACCTGTTTTATACACAGTTTGTATGAATTCTTTGTTCTCTAACAAGTATTTTAGACTTTGATGATCGATACAATTATAAATACCTATCAATAAGGTATTGATGCTACTTTTTAAACAAAAATAGCATAGTAAAAAATTCTTTTTCATAAACAAATGAAAATTGATATTTAAGAGATAGTAGTTATGATAACCGATACCCACTAAAACAAAAATTTAATAAAATTAAATATTAAAAACATGTGAGAAATATTTTAAAGACGTGAATTAATCCAAAAAGGCTTGAAAGAATATTTAGAGTAGTTAAAATAGTTCTTTTATACTAAAAAAAACATAAGGAAAACTCTCAAAAATTCCACC